ATAGCAGAAACGGAGTTTGATATTTTGATTGACACCGCACGAAACAACGACAATGTATCCGCAGAGGAAGTGGAACTCTTACTTGAATGGTTTCTCAAGGTAAGGGGGGAGGGGCAGGGGGCTGGGGTTGTGGCGCAACGAATTGTGGGGTGTACACTACTGTTAGAACAAAGATTGTGACTTTTGATGAAATAACAAAGAGAGACATGCAGACAATACAAAAAATGAAGATGTCTAATAGAACAATAGGCATTATCTGACATACATATTTTATTTGGAGCTTTAATTGCAAACTCTTAATTTCAAACAAGATAAGAAAACTAATAGATAAATACGACATACTTGTGTCAGAGTAGTAAAAAGAAATGTAAATATAACCTACATTATTATACTTATTGAATTAAACATAAGTGTACAAAATATTTAGTATAATTCTATATCACATACAATTGTAATACATACATGAAAATATGCGTGTCATAAATTGACATAATCCTACAATTCTTCGTTTTTGTTGTCTCGACCAATCACAAGCCTCGTTCTGACGGCGGTAGTGGTCGAACCCGAATTATAGGTGACAGTGATCTTTTAATAGATATTTTGTGTCTCTAGGATACCAATGCAGTCCCCTGTGAGTACGTTCTGCAGCCTGTCACGTCTAAGTTGCTCCATTACATGGACATGAGAGACGAGGTGAAAGAGCTTTACAAACAGGAACGTGAGCAATGGTGGAATATCTTTACTACATTTCAACGTGTCTTGCGAATAGCTGCACGGGAGGCTGGTAAACAAGGAAAGCTAACGTCACAAACCGTTCACAAGTACTTCAAATCAGGTTTGTCAAAGGACGATATAGATGTAGGGATGCGACCAAAAAAAAACCTGGTGGCTCGTGATTCTTTGTGATGCCTGAGGAGGTGGCTAATATAGATAGATGGTTTACAAGATGCACAATGAGGTTGACAACGGGGACCTGGTTGTCGTCGTTTCGTTCCCAGGGACTGGGAATGAGGTTTCGAGATGGGGTGACCTACGTACCACGCAGTTGATGTAATGTATTCATAAAATGTATTGTATTCCATTGTTTCTCGTTCTATTGTATTATGTGTTTTGTATTATATCTTTATGAATATATTACATCAACTGAGTGCTACGTAGATTCTCCCGTTTCGAGATGCACACAATCTCGAGCCCAGGCTTATGTCAGCGGTATACGTCATTTCCAAACAAACACGAATCGAGAAATAACTCAATCGCCCAGAGTCTCTCACGCATACATTGACTTCCGCTGGATGGCAAAAGTGCGGGCACTGGGTACGAGATTGGAGATGTAAAAGCTGGTTCTTTCAATAAATATCGCAGGCGCGCGCATTGAAACAAGGTATTTTAGTACAAAAAGAGATGATTTAAAAAAATGCGCATGGCTGCATGTCCCCTTATTGACACACTCTTGACGTCCTTCAAGGGACCCATAATCGCAGCGCGCGAAAATTCGTAGGAATTGATCTTGAAATCGCTCGCTCTTTTCTTAGTGCTTACACAAATCTCAGTTAAATTCCATCATTATCATATTTAGTTAGTAGGTAATGTTCCTCTCTAATTTCCCTCTGTTTTCAGTAACTGAAGACGAAGTAGAGCACGGCATTCTCAACTCCCCTGACGCGAAATCCCAAACTCTATGCTACGTAAGAGAGATCGAAGACATCCACGTTAACCTGGACAAAGACAAGACTCCCCTGTACACCGATATCACTCAAGGACAACATGACATCGAAGCGCAAGAACATCTTGATCGACTGAAACGTCAGCGTATACTTAATAAACTCGGGGGGAGTAATGTCACTCACTACAGTGTACCGTGGACGACCGGGGGGATCAATGCAAACGATAGAAGGCACCAGGAGTACTTGAGT